TTACAGGCATTTCAGATGCACTCAAGTCACTTGTGAGATATTTTGATATGGGAACCGTAGATTAGGCTCGTAAAATGGGGCTTTAAGGGGGCCCAGCCAGGCGCCGTAAAATACAAAATAATGAAATCAAAAAAATGCCTGCAAATGAAAACTTAATGATTTCATCTAATTATAGCTTAAGTTGCCACTGCAACAGCCTGGAGAGCAAAGAGGGGGCGGAAAGACGACTGGCTGGCTAATTTAGTTAGCCGTCCGCACTGCGGAAATGCCACAAACACTCGTCCGCACTCGTCGACACTTCGAGTCGAGTCGAGTCCCAGGAGTTCGCAGACAGCAGTCATCATCAGCTAACTATGACAATCTATGACATCTGCTGACGGTTCCCCGAAGCAGCGGCAGAAGCAGAAACAGCAGCAGCATCCCTTGGAATAGCAAAAGTATCTGCAGAAGGCGCAATGCGACTGTCTAAATTTAGATACAGCTGCTGCACCGACTGCGCCTTTTATGGGCTTTGATCTGGGGCCAAACGTTGACTGGGTTTCGTTTTCGAGTTCGAGTCTGTCCAACGCTAATTGTCCTTTGGCATTCCTTCTTTACATCATCATCGTCTTTCAGGCGCTCTGGTAGGAAAGAGCTCTTGCAGCGTCCTTCACAATAACAACGTTTATAATTGGTGTTTTCGAGTCTTTTGTGTCTATATTTAGAAGCCAACCTGACCAAACGCCTTGATTATGTTGCTCAAATTACAGTAATTTGTACTAAGTAGACACTGTCTTTGATTTAGCTGATAGTCGAGTACAACTCCGCACGCTTTAAACTCATATTTCATACATACAGCTATAAGCCTTATCAATTACTGCAAAAGTAAAAGTAAACATATTCAGACACAAGCGAGAGCGATTTAAATGCAAATTTCATTCTGCACAAATTATGGAAAAGAAAGGTGGGCAAACTAAGCAAAATGAAGCAATCACCTTGTTTCTAGTAGACAAAGGTAATTAGCATGAATACGTCATAATTTTTGATGCTTAATAATTATGCCATAAAAAGAAGAAAACAAGAGGCGAGGTCTTACTCATATCGGTTACCTATGCAAATTGTGGAACTCCTATCACAGCGTGACCATCAAGGTGGGGTTTTTGGCTTCTTGGAAGCTGTCGTCAGCTGAAGAACTGATTAACATCGAATGAGGAACGACCAAACGGCCACCACCGGCTCTTTCTCTTGCCTGAACTCTGATTTAAAGCATGCAAATTAGCATAACATTTAAGCAACAGTTCGGGAATGATTTGAATATTGGCTAGTTAGGCGGTCAGCGGAAACAGAGAAAGATTTACATCCATGGAATACTCTATGAGCATGAAAGATGGATGGGTTTACAAGGGAAAATACCAACACTCCACGAATAATTACAGAATTACAGAAATATGATATATTTCCCACGATATAGAGTTCAAACCAAGAGACATGTCTGCAAAGGGAAATATTCAAAAATACTTTAATTGAAACACATTCGTCCCACTATTTGTTTTTACCCAGAGAAACTTCCTTAAATAAATTTTTAAATTCACATTTAGTTATTTTATAAAAAATACCAATTTAAGATATTTCTCGGATGAAAACAAAACCATTTGGTTGGCTATAATTACAGCAAGAACCGGTTTATACCGTTCCAACCACAACCACTGCTCAGGCTCAGGCATTTAAGTGGGAGCGCAAAATATTTCTGGCTAAATCAATCTGCAAACTGGTAGCCCATGCCCAATTGTATCTGCTAGATGCGATCCCCTTGGCCACAGACACAGAGCCAGACCTCAGCACAGACCCAGCTCAAGCGCCCGCCACAGCCGGCGGCGTCGGCACGGCTGAACATTGCCGGCAAAAGCAATTTTTCTCGGTCACTGGCACAGAATTTTTGACAGGGTGTGGGTACAAAACAACACCACAACAAAACCCCAAAAAATACAACAAAATCCAAAAAAATAAAACAAAAGAGGGTAAAAACAACAACAAAACAACAAATACAATACTATAAACAATTACAGCACCAAGGAGGGGAATCTGTGAGGCACGTCTGCGACAAGTTTATAAAAATTCAGATGTTGTCCCGGTCTGTGCCTGGCCTGGGCGAGCTTCTTGCACTGGATTTACTTTTAATGGCCTGCCTTGACCGTATCCCAGTCTCACTCTCAGTCCCAGTTCCCTTACCATCCATAAAAGTCTGTGCCATTTCACTTTGCTTTGCTCTGCTTTGTTTTGTTTTGTGTTTTTTTGGCAATTTCTCAATAACAATTAATTGGGGAAAGAACTTTCTATTAGCCACTGTCAGCGTCACCGCCTTGGTCCTCATCAGCATGCATTTAAGGCGTTGAGCGGTGAAAGTGCTGATATGGTCAGATATAGGGCCAAGTTCCGCATTGTGTGTGGGCCTGGAGTGCTTAGTTCTCGATAAGAACAATTTTTGTGGGGGGTTTCTTGCGGGTTTCTGTCCCGAGTGGATTTCAGCGAAATAAAACATCAAAATTTACTTAACTGTATCTAGAGGGCTCGCTCCTCTGTGACTCTTGTTCAGGCATTCTTTCGATTTAATTTTATTTGTGTGTTTGGAGACGTCTGGAGAGGAAAGATGTCGAGAAAGCCGCTTCTGATGAGTCATTGTCAGCTGTGGACCAAGAAGAGTTCTCTTCTTAGAAATCGTTCGCTTATTTGTACTTTTTATTATATTTTATTCACCGCTCTGTTCTGCTTGTAAAACTGAAATGTTTATAGGCTGCATGAAATGGGGTTACAGTATTTTTGAGGCTTTTGGCCTTACTGTTCTTTGATGACACAAAACGGGGCTGACAGGCAGGCAGACTACCTGAGGATGAGGCGACACAGCAGCCAGACAAAAAATTATCTGCATAAAGATTCCAAAGCTCAAATCTCACAGCTGTCAGAAACAACCAGAAGTTATGGTATTCTTCCTCTAAGCAAGTATCAAAAACCTACCTTGAAATTAAATATTTCATTTCCCTAATGATAGCCAAACAAAAATAGGAAAATGATTTAAGCAGAAAAATCTGTGCAAATTAGCTAGGATAGCGCTAAATAATATTCATAAAAAATAATAACGCTGCTCATCTGTTCGGTCCCAGCACCTCTGTGTGGGGCCCCCACCGGGGGCAGAATTTTCAATTTTCGGAAAGCCAAATTGGAAAATCAGTGGCGGCAACCGACCCGAATCACGGGGAGCATCCACTCCTGCTCTCCATGTTTCTGAGGCGTGGAAATATTGAAAATGCTCGCATTATGATAATTTAATGCGTGTGATTATTGAAAAGCATAATAATATTTTTATGGCTCACACATTTGGCCCAGTGATGGGGGGTGGACGGACTTAGAAGGGAGCTCAGAGAGATGCGAGATGCGATACGGGGCTGCTCTCTGGGCAGTCGAGGGGAAAAGATGTTGCCAATGTCGTTGTCGCATTATTATTGTTATTACCAAGACACATTCTTTTTATCAGCGCAGCGAAAGTGCCAATAATTCGAGGCAATTTATTATTTTAGCATTTGTATATCAAACACTCGCACAGGCACTCATGAGTGCTGCCAGCCGAGTGCTGTCTTGGCCATTTGCGAATGCAAATCACGTGCGAGCATAAACCGGCGGGGCAGCAACAGCAACAGCAACAGCAAAAACAGAACCAGAAGCAGCAAGAAGTTGAGGCTGTCCGCCTGCTGGCGCCGCCTGACACCGACTACGACGACGAAGACACGACGACACCTGCGCTATGCGTCTTGGGCTTGAGATACAGATACAGATACCCATCAGCCTCCACAGCCGACGCCGCCTACCCCCATGATGCTCCATTGAACCTGACACCGATATTGAAATTTCTGCCGACTCTTCTAGGCCAGCTGGAAGTGTGGGCGTTTGCCTGCGCGGGAAGGCTGAGAGGGGGGAAACAAAATCAAGCCAAATTTAAATATTATACGCAGCCAAGGAAGTGGTTCAGCGGAAAGAAACCAAAAGCAAAACCAAAACCAAGCGAATTGTATTCTGTCAAAAGCTTTCACCGTAGAGCTCTCTTGGAATTAATTTCACTCAGATAAATATATATACAATTTTATCTTCATGTTTATGACAAAATCGTCGTGAGGATTTCAATTTCTCCCAATCGAATGGCAGGCGAAAATCAAAGCACGTTCATCGCTGATATGGCAAATTCAGATCCTTAGCCGGGGCTCAGATTGAATTGGCAATTGAAACATTCCCTTTTTTCGAGAGTGGGAAGTGGCAAGTCTTTAAGGGGACTGGAAGCTAATGAGCAGCTCTTGGCCCAGAAACAAAAGCATCCGACGAAATGGAGGCTCATGAATCACCTGTTGCTCAGCCCGATTCGGCGGGGGCCTCTGACAAACGGTTAACAAATACGAGAACTCGTATTTTCCGGCATAAATCAAGCAAATGAGCGAACAAAACAAAAAGCGCAGGGCCCGAACGAATAAAAAACTCAGACGAACAGCTGAGGGCAGCTCCAGTTGGCCAATCGTAAGAGACAGGGCCAAAAAAAGAAGCCGCAGAAGAACTCTTTTGGCCAAAAACCAGAATCAGACTGTGAGTGGCAGAGGGAGAGAGCAGACCGCGCAAATACAATTTTGCAAAGACAAAAGCGGCAGCGGCGTCGACGTCTGGAGAATCTCCCCGCGGCAGAGGTTCGCTTACAATTTATGCGACGTCGGCGGCGACGATGCCAACGCCGAAGCCGACGCTTGCTGGGGCTTTCATTACAGCGCAAATTCTGCCCAGAATCGGCAAAGCTCGCTCGCTCGCTGAGTCGCTGCTGGAGTAGCTGCCGTCGCTGCCACAATGGAACATCATCATGACGTTCATTAGCGGCTGCGGCGGCAGAAGAAATTCAGAATTCAGCTCTGCCACAAGCAAGGGACACGAGGGTATAAAAGAACCCAGCCCCACTGACCATTGCAGCAAATCTTTCTCGATTCGGTTACGCGTGCGCAGTCTGCAGCAGCGCTCAGTGAGAACTATCCTGACGGCAGGATAAACCCCAAAACTAGTGAAGTGTTCCGTTTAGGTCATATCAGCACAAATAACGCGAGTGATAAACAATTCGAAAATACGCCCAATCAAAAAACAATTACCAATTAAAAAAGTGGTGAGTGCCATAAAGAAGTCCCCGCTTGAAATATTTGTACATAAATATAAAATATTAAAAAACCAAATTTCAATGCAAAAATCAACAATTGCAAAATATGACTATACGAGTCATATGCACATATTTATATTCCAATGCAATCAGAGCTAATAAATTCGGTTAAAACCTGATATATAAATCAAGGACTGACAAAGTTATTACCAATAAATATAATAAATAAAATTCATATAGAAAATCAGTTTAAATTGTTGGCCATTGCCCATTGTTTCGAGGTTTTAAATGTTTCAACGAATTCCCAATGCCCCCGAAGTCCCTGAGAGCAATTTTGATTCATTTAGTTCCACTTTAGTTCACTAAAACAAGCCAGACAAATCACAGTTCGGTGAAGGAGGTTGGAAACCTCTTTGCTATTTTTATGTCACTCCAAGGCCTCCATCAATCCAAATGGCCAAGCAGTCCGAAAAGGGACTGGAGCAAACCTCAGCAGAGTCCTCAAGCACTTGACCAAAGCGCTTTATTGTTTAGAAGTGCACAAGACGAGAGTGAATTTTACGCACACGCATTCAAAATTGAAGGTCGCTTTCCAGCCCATCAGCTATCCGAGCTCCCCGGGCACCCACTGTTCCCGCAGCTGTAGCTACAACAATGTAAACTTTAATTGACACCATTGTTCGGGCAACACTTTTTGCTCCATTTAACAGCCATAGATTGCCGCCGAGTGCGCTGACAGGCAAGTGGGAGAAACGCACAGGATAGAAATTCAGAAAGAAACGTAGAAAAGATAACGAGCGGCGACCCAGTAGGGGGATGCGATGGATGACGGGGTTGGGTTCCGTCTGAGGCATGTCAGTGCACAAGTCCATCAGTCACTCGGGGCCGGCGCGACACTTCTGCATGGAGGAGCAGTGGCAGGAGCTGGAGCAGCCATCGCTGACCAGTCATCAATTCCGGGCACGTTGTTCAAATTATTATTATGCGCAAAATCGCAAAAGGATCTCGCACTCCAATCTCTCTGTCTCTCTTACTGTTTCTCTCTCTTTCCCTGACAGTTGTAGTAGTTACTGCTTGGGCCTGCCACTCGAGCACACAATCAAGAAATTTAAATTTGATTCGTTGCGCAAACTGCCCAACATCAACACCAACACCAAGAACAAGCAAAGCGCACTCAAGTGTCAAATGTAGGAAAGATAAACGAAAAAAAAGCATACAAAAAAAGACTTACACACTTGCACTTGAATCGAAGGATTCCCTCCTCCTGCTGCTCCTACTGCTCCTCGGACGCGCTCCTGTTCTGCATTTCAACTTGACTTCTTGTCAGGCTCTTCTGGCTCTCCCTTTTGCCCCCATCCTCTTTGTGCTCACTTTGTCAATTTGCTTGGCATTCTGCTTTAGTTTTCAACGATTGCCATAAATTAAATTGTTTGTCGCAGGACAACATTGACAGCGTCAGTGGCAGCAGTAACCAGTGCCAGTGCCAGTGCCACTACCAGTCCCAGTGGTAGCGTTAAATGCTGACAACTTTTTGCCCAGCGATTTATGTGCGGGCGTGGCTCTAATAGGCGGCTAAGTTCCGTCAATGGATGGTTGTTTTAAGCAAATAACAAAACAATGCATCAAAGTCACTGCACAGTAAAGGAAATCCTAACCTGTAAAATCAAGACCATGCTGTCCACTCTTTTGCACATACTCCAAAGCAAACCAACCCAGAGATATATATCTTTAATAATCTGTAACAATATCACACTTTCTTCACTCTCTTTACTTTCTGTGGGTTCGGCCAACCATCTGCAAAGATAAGAATCGCACAGACAACACCCAAAATTTTGTGAAAATTTGTTAATTTAAATTCCATGCATTAACTTAACAACAACAAGCACCATCACAACAACTATAAATATTAATAATATTTGCACACCCCAAAGAAGAGAACCAGAAAGAAAAGTGAAATGATATCGTTTGTTGGTCATTATGCATTCCGATGGCTATCGCCGGCTCGTCTGCCTTCTGACCAGTTCACTTGCTCGCAAATTATGCTAATTTTATGTGTCAATTATCTGCCAATAAGCAGAGAGAGAAAGAGGGTCTGGACAGGGGGGGTATGTGTGTATATATTTTTTGGGTTACTTGGTCAAATGGGGACGAACCCTGAAGTGGCTGCTGCTCATGTGTAAACATGATTTGTGCCAGTCAAGTGGTCAAGTTCTTTTTATTTTTCTGGCTCTTTTGCCCGTCATTTGCATATTTTGTTTGCTTTATGCAAATCGAGGCGAATTCGGTTAACGATAATAAAGCAGGAACCTTCACAGACAACGCCAAGCAACGCCACAAATTAAGTAAGACCATAAAATGCATTAACTATTGTTCGCAGATCGACCTACTATTCTGGACCACTATGATATCATGGCTCCAGCTAAAAATAGAACAGAGTTTTTTGGCAAATCCATCAATAGTCAATAGAACATTCCGAATACGTGCCAAGTTTCACACATTTCACACTTTGGCACTTGGCATCGAAAGGCTTTCTCTGCCTCAAGGCAGCAAGGCCCGAGCTGGGTCCCATGCCTCCACTCAAGATGCAATTTCAATTAAAGGCAAAACAAACGAACAAACCGTCAAACAAACAATGACACAAGTAAGAAAACAAAGTACAAAAATGTTAGACAAATAAGCAAAACGCTCGAATTAAACAATTCAACTTCAACTTGAACTCCACAAAACTGGAGGCAGCACGCGAACTGCTCGCTCGCTCGCTCGCTCGCTCGCTCAATGATGTAATCGATTAGATGAAGCCATTATCCCAGGCACAGCCCCAGCCCCGACTCCAAACAGGTACTCTCTGTATCTCTGCGAGCACTTTGCTAATGGGCGAAAGTCAAGATCGCAGATGAGAGGCAAACTTCTGGTCATGTAATTCGCATGCGGTCAACTCAGACAACAATTCTTGCCTCATGAATCAGCATTTCCAGCACACAAAGGGAGAAATCAAAATATAAATAAAAAGTGTTACACTTAAATCTGCTTGTGGTCTGCTCGGGTTCGTAAAGTGCTGAAAAGACAAGCAACTCTCTGCTGCCGGCTCTTTGCAGAGCTGAGCAACGTCTTCGGGGCAAAGCCCCAAACTTATGCAACGAGCTGTGGGCAAATCTGCCAGCCAAATTACCATACAATTTACATAAAAGCTTCCGTGTAAAATTTATTTAAAACAAATAAAAAAAGCTACAGCTACAGCAAGAGGGAGAGGAAGAAAGAAAGATTCTGGTGGAGGTAGAGGTAGAGAATGCACAAAATCCTGTGTGGACACTATATCTTGTGCTAGGCGGAAGCCGAGAGAGGTTGTCTTGTCAGGCAGCGCCATAAACATAAACATAAACTGCCGGCAGGGCCCCACCCGTCCCGGCCCGGTCCGGTCCGGACAGACAATTGGCAACAGGTGTAGGCCAAGCTATGTGTGAGCCAAGAAAGTAACAGACCTGGCCCTGGCCCTAGCTCTAGTCTCAGTCTTTGTCTTGTTCTTCTTGTGCCCTTATCTAATAACAGCAACGATTTGACAGCACAAAGAACAGAAACACACAGAGGAAGAGAGAAAGAGTCAAGTGTGAAGCGGATCCCTGAACACGTGCCCCTCCAGTTCCGAACAGGTCTTAGCTTGGCTTTGACAATTTTCGGTTGCCCAAAAGTCGGAAACGGTCTTGGGTTGTCCCCAGTGCCTGATCCCTGGTCCCTATTGCCCAGTTGTCCTGTTCTGTTCTGTTCTGTTCTGTTCTTTTCTGTGCCGTGCTGTGCTGTCCGAGTTGTAGCTCAAGCCGTTGGCTTTCGTCTGTCAATTTTTGTGTTATTGTCCTACGGTGGAGGTTGCTACGTGCAGGGTCCCGTGCCTCTTAAGTCTTGTCATTGTGCAAATTTACAGTTTTTCGCCAAACGTATTGGGTTGAGTAGAGCTGTTTGGGGAAATCTTCGAGATTGTGGCATCAAATTCGACACTAAAAAGACAAACACGATTTGTATTGAGCCCCCCGAAAATGCCCCCCGAGAGGGCCAGACTCAAAATTAGCCGAATGAAAAGGCTGTAAAGTAGCCAGGCAGGGCAGATGATAGCCAATCGGAGTGGGGAGGGATGGCATCCAGCTTCCACTATGGCCATGTGTGACCGAAATAAGCCTAGAGAGGAAATTAAGTAATTATGCACTTGACTTGCCATTTTTACCATTGCCCAAGCCCAGTGTGCATTCCTGGCACTCCATTTAAGCCGGCTCTGGCCAGCCGGCACACATTGTTTCAGTCCCAGTCGCCAGTCGAGTAGTATTCACAGTCGTAGGTTCCTCAGTCCCTGGCCTTATGCAGATACCAATACCAATTTCAGCTTAGGCCAGCTGTCCCCAAAAATGGCCAGTTCAAACACAAGCAGAGGAGCCATTGCAAGCTGCCATTGACGGAGGGAATATTGGCCCATTGGCATCATGTTCGATTTTGCAGACACAGCGTCGTTTTGTCTTTAACTAAATTATAGCTACTACATGGCCAGAGACTCTGGATTCCGAATTGCTGCTTCTCGTGATGCTGCTGCTCCTGATCGGAAGTGGAACTGCAAGTGGAAGCGGATGCGGATGCAGAGGCGGAAGGATGGACAAAACGGGGCAAAATGGCTTAAACTGAAATGTGCCAAAAACTTCAATGCCTGCAACTGACGTGATATCTCCAACCTCAACTTCTGAGCCGGGGTCGGTGCCGAGTCTGGACCGTGCCGGCAGTGAAGTGGATACTGGCTTTGCCTGGCAGTCAATAGTCAACTAAACTGCATCAAACTGCCTGCCAAGAGCGGCTGCTGCTTCCACAGCTCTCTGCCCCAGCCTCTCCCTCGTTCCATCAGTCTCCGTTTTAGTCTGTGTGTTTGGCTGTGTGTTTCGACCGATATCGATATAAGGCATTACCTGCTAAACTGTTTGGCAGCATCACAGGTAGAGCCAGGCCGGTCTGGGTCTGGCTCTAGAAACAGAGACAGA